CTACCGGAGCGTTCCAATTCCTGCAAGTCCTCACCAGCACTTGATCTGACTTTGACTGAAGAAATCGTAGTGAGTGTGACGTGGAAGCTCATTAGGCTTTTGATTTGCATTTTTAAAAACCATGTATTCGGGGCCCTCCCTGGTGACGCAAGGGGTTAGAGCGCATCACTGCAAGTGGCCACAGCTGCTTCCGTGCGAGTTTGATCCTCGGCCCCGGAGGTGACCCCATGGCGGCCAGACCTCTCCTGACCCGCCCGCTGCTCCCCTCAGCAGCGCACTTCATCAGTCAGCCTGTTCTGCTCCCCACTCTGCCTCTGGTGAATCCTGTTACTGCCCCTGCACCTCTGGCCTATACCCCAGTTCTGTATGCAGCAATAAATAAATCTTTAAAAAAACCAATTTATTTATTGATGCATACAAGAATTAGGGCAGGCCAGAGGTGCAGGGGGTGAGAGAATTCATCAGAGACAGAGTGGGGAGTAGAACAAGCGGACTGCCTGAAATACACTGCTGAGGGGAGCAGTAGCAGGTCAGGAGAGGTCTGCTGCGCCCTGTGGGTCACCTCCCTGGTGGGGGATCAAACTCGTGTTGCAATGGCTGCGCTTTAACCTGGACACCTCCAGGGAGGGTCCTGATTTCCATTTTTCTAATTGATACTTTCTTGTGCTTATTTCTTGTATATCTTCAATCTCTTGCCTGTTTTCTAAATTGGGTCACTTATCTCGCTGAGCTGTGATGGTTCTTTATGTATTGTAGATACAAGTCCCATTCTGTGTGTTGTCTTTTCAGTGTCTTTTGAAGCACAAGTTGTTACTTTCGATGAAGTCCACTTTGTCTGTCTTTTCTTTGGTGTTGGGGCTTTTGCTGTCAAGAGTAAGAATCCCTTGTCAGATCCAAAATCATGAAGATCAACCTGTGTTTTCTTTTGAGTTTTGTAGTTCTAGTGGTCATATGTAAGTCTCTGATCTGTGTTGAGTTGGTGTTTGGAATGGTGTGAGGTAGGGATTCCGTCATTCGCTTGCGTTGCCTTGGCACCTGTGTGAAAGCCGGTCGATGCCATTGCGTGGGTTTATTTGGGGCTCTCAGGCCCGTGCATCCGCATGTCTTCTTGTGCCAGCTGCAGTGTCTTGCCTACCGGCATTTGGTAATGGTTTTTGAAACCATGAGGTGTGAGTCCTCCTGCTTAGTTCTTTTTCAGGGTTGTTTTTGATTTCATGGGCCCTTTGCCATTCCACATGAAATGTAGAATGAGTTCAGTTTCTCCAAAGGAGCAAGCGGGAATTCTGACGGCCATGTGGGCGAGTCCGCGCGTCCGTGTGGGGAGTTCTGCCCCTTTAGCTGTGGTCACTTTTCTGATAGATGAGCATGATGTGGTTTGCCAATTATTTAGATTTTTAATTTCTTTCAGCAAGTTTTATAGTTTCCAAAGTGTAAGTTTTTTTGTTAAATGTATTCCTAAGAATTGTATTCTTTTCGGTGGAATTGCTAACGAAGTTCTTCTCTTAGTTTCATTTTTTACTTTTTTTTGGGGGGGGGGGAAACAGTAGAGATGCAATTTTTTTTCCTTCACATTGATCATTTATCCAGAAATGTTGCTGAACTTGTTTATTCTAGTAGTTTTTGTGTTAGGGATTCCTTAGAATGTCCTATATACAGGAAGGATCATGACATCTGCTGTTCACAGAGTTAAATTCACCTGTCTAATCCCGATGCCCTTCTATTTTTCTTTTTCTTTCTTTTTTTTCACCAAATCACCCCGAGGACTCTAGTCCAGTGTTGAAAAGAAGTGGTAAAAGTATGTCTCCTGTCTCATTCCTGATTGAGCTTGGTGGGGGAAGCAGAATCCAGTCTTTCACCGTTAAGTGTGATGATAGTGATGAGTTTTTTGCAGAGGAGGATTTGGCAGATTGAAGAAGTTCCTTTCAAATCCTAGTCAGTTCAGTATTTTATCACGAAAGTGTGCTGGATTTTGTCAAATGCTTTTTCTGTGTCCATGGAGATGAACGTATGATTTTGCCTTTCATTTTATTGATAAAGACTACTACATTCAGTGACTTGATTTTCAACTGGTACGCCAACCTTGCATTCCTGAAATCCGTTCCACTTGGTCAAAGTATGTAATTCTCTTTGTTCTTTATGTTGCTGGATTTGGAGGGCTAGTATTTTCTTGAGGATTTTTGCATTCATCTTCATCGTAGCGATCTATAGTTCTCTTCTCTTACCAAGTCTTTGATTTTGGTATCAAGGTAATACTGACCTCAGGGTGAATTTCAGAAGAGTTTGTGAAGAATTGGTATTAATTCTTCAAATGTTTGTCAGATTCAGCAGTGAAGCCATTGGGCCTGGCTTTTCTTTGTGAGTAGTTCTTTTGATTGGTAATTCAATCTCTTTCTGATTATATCTGTTCAAGATAGAATAATATCTCATTACAGATTTTTAAATTGTCTATCTCTTCCTGTATCCGCTTTGGTAGTTTGTATCTTTCCAGTTGGTTTAGGCTTTTATTTTTTAAGATAACTTGTTTTTTTTTTTTTTTTTTTTTGAGATTTATTTATTCATACATACAGAACTGGGTTGTACGCCAGAGATGCGGGGGCAGTGAGAGGATTCACCAGAGACTGAGTGGGGAGCAGAACAGGCCGAGGCAGTCCACTGCTGAGGGAGCAGCAGGGAGACTGGAGAGGTCTGCTGTGCCCTGGGGGTCCCGCCCTGCCCGGGGATGGAACTCAACAGAGGTGGCTACAGCAAGCGTCATGGTGCTGCTGTTTTACCGGTTGCGCTCCCAGGGGGGCCTGGCTCAGGTTCTTATAGGAATGTTTTCGCAGCCTTTCTGCTGATTTCATCGTAGCTGACAATTATTAAATTCTTCCTTCCTACATCCCAATTATTTTCCCCATTAACCATTACATTCTTACAAGAATTCAATCAACTTTTCCATTTTACAAGTGGGAAACAGAGGAAGAAAAAAGTCAAGTACTGGGTCAAGGTGACACAAGAACAGCTGGGACTTGGGGGGGGTCTAGTCTAGTCCCTCCCTGCCCCCGGGCCAGGTCAGTGCTAGTGGCTGAAGTGTGACACCGAGTCAGACCTGGTCGCTCCCCAGAGAACCCAAACCTAGGAGAGGGCGTGCCTGTCCTTGGCAAAGGGAGAAGTCAGGGCGTCAGCAAGGGCCCCACAGAGAAAGGGGCACGTGCCGTGGCCTGGGTGCCCGGCAGGGGGCCTGGGGAAGTTGCTCAGCCTCCAAGGGCGCACCAGAGAGGCTGCCCCAAAGGTGCCCAGGCCCCTCCCTGGGGAGCTGGGCGTGGCGGAGCAGAACCACTAGATGTGTTTGCTCAGTCGGGCTTCACCGTTGTGGCGGAGAGGAAGCGGTGCAGCCACTTGTGAGACAATCGCTAGACAGCAACCAGACACAACTCAACGTAATTCTTCCTGCATCATGACTGCTGCTACTGGTTCCAGCTGCAGCAAGGCCTGTAGTCTCCATCTGTCGCAGGAAAGCTGGTGGCCGGGAGCCCCTGCGGCTGAGTGATAGGTAGAGCAGGGCAGCAATTTGCAACGCGAGTTAACGGCGTGTTTCCCAGCAGCCGGGAGCCAGGGCTGCAAAGGCCCAGGAATGCCGGACCCTCCTCCTGCTCGGAAGTCCAGGGTCAGCCCCGGCCAGCCCCGGACTCTGCACCCCCGCCGTGCAGATGGCAGAGGTGGCAGGGATGGCCGGCTCGTGAGGCCCCAGGCCCTCCGCTCTGCCCGCCGGCCCGCGCCGACCCCACGAGGCTGCTGTGTGCTGTGGGCACGGCTGCTGCCCAGTCGCCGAGTGGTCATCAAGCATGCTGGCCACGCAGCGCTCCCAGCAGGCTGGGCACCATACGGCGCACCGGCCCCTGCCCAGATGCCGTGTGGCGTGAGGGGTGTCCCGGAGGGCAGGGCCCGGCCGAGAGGCCGGCGGCTGCTCTGCGCCTGGCCGCTGCCGCGGACCCTGACCTGAGGGTGTGCCCCCGGGCCTGGCGTGGACGGTTCCTGCGTCTTCAGAGAGGCGCCGGGGCCGGCGGTGCACGCGGGCGCCTGTTTAGCCGCGTGTGACCGTGGCGCGGCTCCCGTTCCGTCGGCGCTGAGCGGCCATGAGGGTGGACTCCCGTGTGAGGGCCGGAGGAAGGTGGGCTGCTGGGCCGACGGCCGGGTACAGCCTTCCGGCACAGCGGGCAGCCCGGGGTTGCCGTTCTCAGGGTGGCCTTGGGCGGGCCCTCGGTCTGTCAGTGCGGGGTTTCCCGGCGCACAGAGCGGGCCGGGCTCCGCCGAGGGCCTTGACGGGGAAGCGCCGGGGGGCGGTTGGGCGGGGTCAGCGCGCTGCAGTGCCGCTCTGCCACCGGGCCGGCTGCGTGACCGCGAGCCGTAGCGGCTTTCCCGGAAGTGCACTTCCTGTCTGTAAACTGGGGCAGCCATCTCCCGCCTCCCAGAGGGCTGGGGGCTGCGCGGGCCACAGCAAGCTGCGCATGGATGTGCCCGGCACGTCCCCCCCGGCCGCCGCCGGGTCACAGAGGGGTGAAGGAGGAGGCCCCGCGGGTTAGCCCGGCACAGAAACACGCGGGATGCTGTGCCGGAAGCTGTTGGTGGTGACTGGCGGGGCGGGGCACCGGCCCCCCTCGGCGGCTGCCTGGGTCTGCTGGCAGCCGTGGGGGTGGGGTGCCGCCTGCCTGCCCTGGGCACCGAGCCCTGCGTGTGTCATCTGCCTGGGGCTGGGCATGGGGGTGTCCAGGGGAGGCCTGGGAGGATGAAGGCCCCCGCCCGCCCCAGGGCGCCGTCGGGACACAGGAGAGCATGGCTCCGGCTTTTGGTGACCGGCCACTGCCTGAGGAGCGGCCAGTGCCGGTGGAGGCTCCTGCCCCAGGGTCCCCATGGCCGCGCTCCCCGGGGGCGGGGCGGAGGCGCGCGGGACTCTCGGTGCCTGGGAGCCCCAGCAGGCGGGGGCAGGGGCACCCGCCGCTCACCTGTGGTCCCTCTTCCAGGGCGTGGTCTAGCGGCCCCGGCGAGGACGCGGCACCGGCCCCGAGGCTCTGACCCCCGCTCCGTCTCCGCCTCCGCCGCCGACCGTAGGTGAGTGCCCGGGAGGCCCGGTGGGTGGCGAGGGCAGCGGCCAGCCGAGCGGCCCGAGAAGGAGGCTCCCTTGCGCGCTGTGGGCGCAGCGTGGCACAGGCAGGCCCCTGGAGCCCGAGGGACAGGCCGCCAGGGCCGCGCGGCCAGGCGTCCCCGAATCATCCAGGTGCGCACAGCTGCTCACATCAGGCACCTGGCTGTCGGCACAGGCACCCCCAGGCGCGGCGGGGCGTCCTCGCGTG